AATAGTATGTTATGCATCGATAGCAGCAACAGCTTTTCCAGGTTGTGCAGTCATCTGAACAAAATTATAGACATTCAGTACATTCCATTAAACAAAACAAAACAAAACAAAAAAAACAAAAGAAAAGAATAATATCCAGAAAACAGCAAAGTTCTGTTGCTGTTGTGGTACCTGGCACCATTTTTTTTTATTAGCATCTTAATCATCATCTGGAAAGAGAACATTCTAGAGTAACATCATCATTAACTATAGCTCTGATAAAGCACGGTCACTACTATGTATCATAAAGCAGGTACAAGATATTTTACATTCACAGAGGTATGATACAGTACCGTCCTACATCAATAATACTAGAATCAGTTTTGGTTTGAAATTTGCTTTGTCTGCAAATAAGATTGCTACCCCTGTTTTTTTCTGGGCTCCTGTCACATGGAGAATTGTTTTCTATCCTTTCCCTTTCAGTCTATGGGCTTCTTTTTGCACTAGGGGTGTTTCTTGTATACAACATATTGTTGGATTTTGCTTCTTATTCCATTTTGCCAGTCTGTTTCTCTTGATTGGTGAGTTGAGGCCATTGACATTGATGATTACAACTGATATGTATTGGCTTATACTGACATGTTATTGGCCTTTCGTTGACTTTTTACTTTTTCACCTTCTCCTTTTAGTTTCTTGCCTTGCCTATTTGATTTGCTCTGTTGGGCCTCATGGTGTTGTTGCCTTCATTGTCTTTTGCTAGGCAGGTAGTTGAGCGGCACTACGCCTGCCTAGCAAGTGCGAAGTTCTGAGTTGGATCCCCAGTAGCAAAAATAAATTTTTTAATGTTTTTGTTTTGTTTGTTTGTTTGTTTTTGTTTTTTTTTGAGACAGGGTCTCACTGTGTAGTTGAGACTGACCTGAACTCATTATGTAGCCCAGGCTGGTTTTGAACTCACAGCGATCCTCCTGCCTCAGCCTCCCGAGTGCTGGGATTACAGGTGTGCGCCACCACGCCCAGCTTTTAATGTTTTTGGTACTGAGGATTGAGCCCAGGTCCTCAACACCCCCAGCCTCTGTTTGTTCATTTGTTT